ATGATTTCGTTCAATTAAGTAGTAAAGAAGTTTCCATAAATGTATAAATAATTTATTAAATAATTTATTATATACTATTAAACATTAATATAAATTTTTTTTTTCTTTATTTGATTTAAACAATCTAAACAATTTATGTATAATAAGCTTAAGTGTTACAAAATTAAGGTTACAGCCAGAAAACATGAAGGAGAAGCCGCCCACTGGCGACACTCCAGAATATAAAATTTAAGGTATAAAAATAAGAACGTTTGCCTGGAATATAATTGATGACGGATAAATTTTATTCGTATAATTATTATTTAGTTTGGTGCCGGAACGAGTCGACTGACCATTATGGTGTGATACATTGCTGCGGTACGATAAAAGTACCGGTAACATATTTCTATTAATTTCTATTATATAGGTGTCGAACACTCCGGTACGATATTTCCGGTATTCTTTATGCTGTACAATCAAAGGACATGAGAATGGGGTTAAATTTGCGCGTTTACACACTGCAGCGACGTAAATTACTTCATATAATGCTGTACCGTATTCTTGAATATATTTTTGGAGCTCCGACAGATAAGATAGATAAGATCCACGAAAGTCCTACGTCGGTATTTCTAGAACGTTGCATGTTCTAGAAAAGTTTCAAATTTTTTTTTCATATTAAAATTTAAAGTATCAAACATAATTTTCTATCGATATTAACAAATGTGTTCGATATTTCATTTAGAACAGTGCTATTAAAAATAAATATTTTTAATTTAAAATGATTTGGAACATGAGAGTGATTTAAATTCAGTAGGGCCCCTTAGCATCGCCCTAGTTTCGCCACTACTATTAATGTATGTATATATATAGTGTACCGACATTTTATGAAATGTTGTTTTAAATTTAAATTTTATGAAAATGAACAGTTCCTAAAAGTTCCTCGGAGCGATCAGAAATACGTATACATAACTACACGGTAGATAACGTATTGGACGAATACCATATTTTATTGTATTTAAATATATTGTATTGTACTGTTACTTTAATATGTGTGTTCCTATATTGGTATATATTATTATAGTACTATAATGTTTAGTATATAGTATTTTAATTATAGTACGTGTGAATAACGCACTGTAGCAATGCGTGATTGTTGTACCAAACAATGTCCCGGTACGATATCTTATCGTCCGCTACATCATATCCGAGTATCGAATTGGTTTGCAAAAAACTTAAATTTAAACTTAAAAAACTTATCTGCAAATATTTCTGTGTGATATTTAATTATTCTCCGATTCCTTTGTAATTTTAAATATGTATTATAATAATATAATTTATCCACAATAATAATATTGATCGTTCTATTTTATTTTAAGACTTGTGCATCGTCCAGTGAGAAAACAAGTAAGATATTTTCTTCGAAACCATTAAGTTGTATTCGTTGTTTTCAAAGATATTATTTTCGTGTACCGCATAGGTACAAACAACAAATTCACAAATTCCAAATTGGTGTGGCCCGATGACTTACCCAATGGTGACAGAATCAAAGAGCAACTGTACTACGTACCGGCTGGTTACAAGTACGAAATGTCACAAATCAAACGGATTTTGATTCACACCGGCATCGGTGAAGATTGGGAAATTCCTTTACTCGACCAAGGAGAATTCATCGGTTGCCCGGTCAGTCAATGCTGGCTAACGGTCAACTTATCTTACGGTCCAGAAGTCGACGCTGTAATATTTAGGCACCATTATACCCGTCCGACATTCAATAGGCCACCAAATCAAGTAAGCCAATTACATTATTTAGACACCAAAATCGTTAATTAAAGTCTTATTAACCCATATAGTTATCTACTGTACTTTGGCCTGTACGGTCGTATTACTTTTTTCATCGGTCGCTCATCGCTATTTTTATATTTGTTACTGATATTCCAGTGTATATCCATTTGCTTTTGTGTACTTTATATTTATTTTATTTTTTCTCCGTCTATTTAAAATGCCCGTATGCAACACCTGTTCGATTAATATTATTAAAGCATCCTCCATAACATGCATTGATTGTGACTTACATGGCACGCAAAATTCCAAAGACTTACCAAAGAGGATAT